TTGGGATAAATTTGAATTCATCAGGCTTGACTTTAATTACATTATGTAAACTAGAAAATGTCCCCAGTAGGCTTTGAGGGAACCGCTCCCGGATGCAATGGCAACATCCTGTTTTGTTTGAAATATTTGCATTTTGATAAATCCACTGACTCCAAACCGGGTTTTGATCTCTGTCAAGAATTCATTTTCACAACATCAATCTGAATTTACTTTCTTCCTTTAATGAATATTTGCAAAGTTTGCATAAGTTCTTCCCTCTGGTCCACCCCCTCCCCAAACACCTCTCTCTTTACGCAGGTTGGAGCAGGACGGTGAGAGGAGCTGGGCAAAATGCCTTTTTCATGGGTTATCGGAGCAGGGAGCGGCAACCACCACAGTGATCTTGCCTGGAGAATTCCATGGACAGAGGAGCCCGATGGGCTAGAGTCCATGGGGTCTCAAAGAGTCAGACACGACTGAGCGACTCATGCACACACACACACACACACCCCCCAGCACTGTGGAAGTGGGCCTGTATCAATCAACTTCTGAATAGACAGTATTTTGAATGCAGGGAAGAGAGGCTCTCAGAACAATCAAACGAGGAAAGAAGACTCATTTGAGACCTTTCACGGACTCCACACAGGTTCATCATGACGTCTGTGAAGGTGCCCGTACGAATCCCCCACATCGCATCTTGGGCCCCCAGTTCTTACGCCTCCCCATATCCACGCCCTTTGCCATGTAACTATGTTGTCCCCCCTCTAATGGATATATTAGATTTCAACCAATGCCTTCTACTGGGCTTGGTTGCATGATCAGTTTCAACTCACAGGATGGAGTGTGGCGTATTTGAGCCTAGCTCTCTTGCACTTCTGGAATCGCTATGAGGAAATCCTCCTGTGGCAAGCCTGCTGCTCAAAGGAGAATGCGAAGCACATGGAACAGACGTGACTCAGTGTGTTCAAGGGGAAAAACAGCAAATCACGGTTGTTTTAAGCCAACAAGGTGGTACTTTAGCAATGGAGATGCAGACAGAGGACAGACTGGTGGACACAGTCGGGGAAGGAGGGGGTAGCATGGAAACATACTCATGGCCGTATGCAAAAGAGACAGCCACGGGAATTTGCTGTTGACACGGGGAGCTCCACCTCATGCTCCGTGACAACCTAGAGGGGTAGGTGGGGCGGGAGACGGAGGAATGTTCGAGAGGGAGGGGACATGTGTGAACCTATGGCTGATTCTTGTTGATGAATGGCAGAAGCCAGCACGGTATTGTAAAGGAATTCTCTTTCTATTAAAAAAAAAACTAAAAAAAAAAAAGTGATAAAATATTTTGGACTTCCCAGGTGATGCTAGGGGTAAAGAACCCACCTGCCACTGTAGGAGACATAAGAGATGCAGGTTCGATCCCTGGGTTGGGAAGATCCCCTGGAGGTGGAAATGGCAACCCACTCCAGCGTTCTCACCTAGAGAATTCCACGGACAGAGGAGCCTGGTGGGCTATGGTCCATGGGATTGCAAAGAGTCGGACACGACTGAGCGACTAACACTTGCACTTTTCACTTTCAAAATGCCTTTAGAAACTGTGGAAAGTGCCACTTCCACACTCCGTGCAACACTTAAGAAAAGTAGAGGCCCCGCAGTTCCGTCCGTCAGCGCCCCCCACTCGGGACGGTGCTGTCCCCTCTTCTCAGGCTCTGGCTCATGGCTCCTGAGATGCGCCTCTCACTGGAAGCACTTCTTTAAAGACTGTATTGAAGTATAGTTGATTCACAATGCTGCGCTAACTTCTGCTGCGGGTTATACACAAACATGCATCCTTTCTCACATTGTGCTCACCACAGGATGCTGAATGTGGTTCCCTCCACTACACTCCAGGACCCCGCTGCTCATCTGCTCTCTGTGCTGTGACCGTTTGCATCTGCTGACACCCAGACTGTCCCTCCATCCCTCGCCTACCTCCCCGTCTCTGGAAACCATGAGTCTGTTCTCTGTACCAGTGAGTCTGTTTTTGTTTCACAGATATGTTGATCTGCAGCATATGTTAGACCCACGTGTAAGTGATATCATATAGAGTTTGCCTTTCTCTTTCTGACTTATTTCATTAAGTACGATAATCTGCAGGTTCCTTCGTGTTGCTGCAAATGCCATCACTTCATTCTTTTGGATGGCTGAGTAATATCTGCTGGAAGCATTTCTATTTATTGGCTTTATAAGAAGCATTTCTCACTACAAACTTTTTTTTCCCCTCAACTCACCTAGTCATTGCTCTTCAAATCTCCCAACTATTTCACTCTTTCCCTACCCACAGAGATGCAGAGAATCTGAGCTAGGTGCAGTGATGGCTGAGTTCAGAAATCAAGCGAGCCTTTCCATTTCCTTCTCATCTCGCAGGGTAACCTAAACACTGACGCTCTCCATAGTCAATCAGGCCAGCTCCCAGGGCCAGCTCTTGAAAGATGCAGAGAAACAATTGTGATTCAGGGCATGGCCCATGACAAGGAAATCTACAATCATGAAAAAAATATACGTACACATGTCTCAAGTGAGGCAGAAAAATCACAGCCCTTGTCTTCATTACTGACTTCTCGCAATAAAGACAGGAACATTTTTATGATTTAATTCAAAATAAAATTTTAAAAATCAAGTCCAAACTCTCTTTTGTCCATGGTATGAATCAATTTTTACCAGAATCAATAAGCCACTTGTGGCTAAACATTTTATAAAGAGTCAGCAAACTCAAGGAAAAACACTGTGATGAAAAGACTATTTTAATAAAACAAAATGACTGTCTGGCACATGGTCTGGAACATTACTATATGTGGACAAGGTCCTATTAATATCCCTGCTTTTCTAAGGACAACAAACCTAGTTTATTTCTTCAGGCAGAACTCAGTTTTCCCCATGCAGAACCAGGTTGGAAGAGAAGACTATTTCAGCAGTACTCCGGAAGAGGGGCTCCGACGGCAGATGCAGACAGAGGTATATACCATTTTGCCTGGAGCAGAAAAAAATCCACCACAGTTATGACAGGGAGACGGACAGAGGCCTGGGGATTAAACGCCCACACATGCCTTTCTCAACAGCAGTGACGAAGCCACCAGCATCAGTGTAATTAAGGACCACTGCGTGTTTCAGGACAGAAACATTCAAAACACTCGATTTTCTGTGATTCTAAGAACTACCCCCTGGACAAACATCCAGAGCAAACCGCTGAAAGGATGCACGCGCCCCATTGTTCGTAACAGCACTATTCACAACAGCCAAGACTCGGAAGCAGCATAACTGTGCATCGACAGGTGAATGGATAAAGAAGACTCAGTGGACTATCACTTAGCTGTAAAAGACCATGAAATAATGCCTTTTGCAGCAAGATGGACAAACCTAGAGATGGCCATACCAAGTGCAGTAAGCCAGACAAAAACAAATACCATATGATACAGCTTATATGTGGGATCTAAAAAGGATGATACAAATGAGCTATATAAAAACAGAAGCCAACCCACAGACACAGAACAAGCTCACAGTTATCAAGGGGAAAGGGGGAGACAGGGATGAGTTAGGAGTGTGGGGCTAACACAAACATGTCAGCACATATTGATACAAAACAGTCAACCAAGCCCTGCTCTATAGCACAGGCAACTCTACTCACTGTGTTGTAATGACCTATAAGGGAAACTTCCCGACCCAGGGGTCGAACCCGGGTCTTCTGCATTATAGGCAGATTTTTTACCCTCTGAGCCACCAGGGAAGCTCATAAGAGAAAAGAATTGGAAAAATCATACACATATATGTACATCTGAATCACTTTCCTATGCACCCGAAACTAACATTGTATACCAACTATACTTCAATTAGAAAAAGGAGGTTATGCACACAAAACTGCTTTCCATCTCCATGATCATAAGCTCCAAATGGTTCAAATGTTCGCATTCAGAAACGCATCTACACAGCCCATATGGAGACATAGATTCATATTTCTAAAAGCTTTTAAAAAATGTGAGGAAAAAATTTAAAAATGGGTGATTATTGCCTTTCTATAAATTGCATAGCCTGAAGCATAATATTTAATTATATTGTGAATATAATAAAGAGGCAATTAAACATCTATTATAATTAGTGAATTTAGCACATTGAATTTATACAATAGCTCTTTCTGAACAAAAAGCTACTTAAAAAAGCATGATTTTCCTGACTTTAATTTCTACCTTGGAGGAAAAGAAAGGGGCATGCACTCACATTGACTGAGCACTTTCTTAGCAACACCCAGGTGACATGTGCGTCCATTCAGCGTGGTCCAGTCAAGACATCCACGACAAAAAAGCAAGTAGAATATGAAAGACCTATTTAGAACCACACGGTCTCACATATCTAGATACGTTTATGTTAATCTTCAGCATGGCCTTGGATTGAGCAGATTCTGTATTCTGTTGAGTTGGTAGATGCATCTACTACTTCTGTTGAGAAGTATAAGTATCTACTAACAATTACTGAAAATAATGCTTTGTTCTCCTTTTTGTCCTCACTAAATATTTACTTAGAGTTAGCCCGAAAATTAAATGTACACTAAAAAAAAAAAAAGGACTCAGAAGAAACTGTCGTTTCACACGTCATTTCCACGCCTTGTCTTACAAGGCTGACCTGATCATTGAGAAGAACAAAGACGGGTGAGCTTACTTATTTTATGTGAACGTGGCTTGCAATATTGAGTACGTTCATACACGTACACAACCATCTAGATAGGAGAGAAATTCTTCTGGAGCGCCACCACCACCACGAATAACAAAACCGTTACACAGTGCTTACCGTGTGCCAGGCGCTATTCTGAATACGTCACTTCTATTAACTATTTTAATCTCCCTAAAATTCCTGTGAGACGAAGTGCACTCACTTCAAAGCTCGGCAGCAGCTTAGCAGAGTGCTTCCGTCCAGAGGCTCCTAGAAGCACGGCCCGTTGCGGGTGCCAAGCGGGGCGCTGCGGGGCGCCCGGGCGGTGCGCCCTGGTCCTCTGACGATAGGCGGCGGCCCGGTCCGCCTCCACGACCTTCCCGAGCTCCAGCGGGCAATTCAAGGGAGCAGGGACGAGGACCCGAGAGAAGGCGCGGCGCCGCCTCGGGGCGCGGGCTCCGCAGCCGGGCCGCCCCCGGCGCCCCCGGCGGCCCTGCAGCCGCGGATGCCCTCAGGCGGGCGCGCTGCCGAGGGGCCGGCGGTGGGCTGCCCCCGCAGGCCGGGCGCAGGCCAGCCGGGCCTGCAGGCTGACGGCGCTGCCCCCGCTGGCCTCGCCACCGGCCCAGCAGAAGAACGGCCAGGAGCTGATCGCGGCCTCGCTGGCCCCGACTGTAACCGTCTCGCTGTGCCATCCTCTCCGAGCGGGGACACACGGCGCTTTGAGGCTGGAGGCCGCCGTGTCCCCCTTTGCCAGGCGGAGTAATAGCACTCCCCTCGTCGATCTCGCCCCAAACCCTGTCTCTGGGATTCGATTCGGCACCGGAGTGTAAGCAGCTGAGCTTCCAGCATCGCGCACCGCGCGTCTACCAAGGGCGCCAGGTCGCTGCTGCCCGAGTCTCCCTCCAGCCTCACTCTCTCCCTCTCCCGCGTTGTCCCCGTGGCCCAGCCTGCGTCCTCGTCCGTCCTTTTCATACGTGGATAAAACGTGCATCGGCACTGTTTATTGGCACTGTTTATGGGAAACGTGAATACGTTCTCTTTTTAAATCTCAAGAGTGATTTGGCCGAATGCTCACATGTCCTTTCTCTGAATTCTCAAGATGTCGTGCATGAGGGACGGAGGCAGTTCTCACGGGGACGCAGACACACAGACGTCTGTGTGTCCACAGGCGCAGCGGGGGGCGGGTGGGGGCTCACACTTTGGCCGAGTGACTCACGGGACCTCCCGGGACCTGCTGCCTTGTCCCCAAACCGCTTTTCTCCCCTTACCCCAGATGAATCTTCTTCTAGGACCTTCTCCGTCAGGCGACTAATAAGAATATCCAGATATTAACAGCAACCACAAAACCAAGGGCCTTTTGGGAGATCCATCTGGCGTGCCTGCTGGTTGGGAACTTCTAAAGCGGTCACAGCAGTTGCCTAAGACGTGAACATTTGAAGCAATCAGCTTCAGATGCACTCTATTTGAGAAATTTTGAGGTAATGCTTCTAATGGGTTGCCTCAAGTTGAGAGATTGTAACAGAGTGGGAAGGCGAGAGGGTGAAGTCAGCTACACTAATCTTTCAGAAAGTGAAAGAAAAGGGCACAAGATAAACATGAAGTCTAGGAACAGGATAATTGTTGCTCGTTTGAAAGATAAACACCGGAAAATGGACTTCAGCAAGAGAAAAAAAATTGCACTTTCAAAGAAAATGTTAGATGGAATGAGAGGTAGAAATTGAATCCTCGTTTACCTTAATAGATGATCAGCCTCTCTACAACTAAAATAGATACAGTGCCTGAAATATGCCACCAATTCCTAATTTATTTCAACTCCCTCTAGACCTCCTTTGGAAACAAATCATGAGCAGCAAATATTCAATGTATCAAAGGCTGTGCCAAGGACTGTCAAGGTCTTGAGTGTCCATGAGATATAAAATATTTTGAGAAAATTAGGAATTCTTTATAGAGATCTTTTTGAGTAATGATTCCTTTACAAGTGGTTTGGGGCAAGTGTTTCATGAGCCACGGCTTTAATAATTCTTCGTCTAAATTCAGGCCGGAGAATGACCAAGGATTCCTTGCTGTTCTTGATGACATGAGCCAAACACCTTGGACAAACACTGCAGTCTTGTTATTATTATGACTCCTAAGTTCCGAGTATGGAAGGTTACAGACTTGAAGCAACATTGGTTTTTGAGACTCCCTCTTTTACCAGACTGGCAGACAAATTTTTTTTTTTAAAGTTAAGCATAGTTGATTCTTAATGTGTTCATTTCCGCTGTACACTGTGACTCAGTTACACACACACACACACACACACATCTATATACATGTATGTGCGCTTAGTCGCTCAGTCATGTCCCACTCTCATGACCCCATAGACTGTAGCCTTCGAGAATCCTCTGTCCATGGGATTCTCCAGGCAAGAATACTGGAGTGGGTTGCCATGGCCTCCTCCAGAGGATCTTCCTGACCCAGGGATCGAACCCATGTCTCTTAAGTCTTCTGCATTGGCGGGTGGGTTCTTTACCACTAGCACGACCTGGGAAGCATATACAGCATATATATTTATACACACATATATATTCTTTTTAAGTATTGTTTTACGGTATGGTTTATCAGGAGATACTTAATGTACTTCTCTGTGCTCTACAATAGGATCTTGTTGTTTATTCAGGAAAATTTCTTTGAAGTAGATCTCCAGCCCACAGGTCAAAATGAATCAAGTACTTGACATCCCAGAAATGGCATTTGACCCAGAAAAAAAAAACAAAACAACCCTTAGTGAGAGCCGAAAGGGCTAACTGGGGGTGGAGTGACCAGCAACTTTCATCATGCGCAAACTGATGAAAATCGCCTCTATCAATAAAACAGCTCAGCTGTTTCTCATCTCCACCAGCAGAAGACTCACGCCCATGGTTTACCCTCTGCTCTCTGATGCTTCTCTTTAAAGAAAAGCAACTCATTTCAGGACCTGAAGCAAAGACTGAAGCTCTCTCATCTCATCTAATGCACCCCTGGCTTCACTCTTTCTGAGAAGATAGGGCTGTGCTTTCACGCCGGTCCACAGCTCCTGCGAGAGCCGTGTGTGTGTATGTGCGCGTGCACGTGTGCATGTGTGTGCGTGTGTGCATGTGTGTGTGCGTGCATGTGCGTGTGTGTCTGTGTGTGTGTTCGTATCCGGGCAACCCTTGGTGATGCGTGCCAGCTAGAGAGCATCATGGAGCTGAGAGAACGTATATGTCACCTGGAGGGGATTTAGGGACCAGAGTAAATATAACACATCGTTTTAAAATGCAGGAACTGAGGCTGGGAGAGATGGAGCAGTCTTTTCAAGGTCACCACCTGACTCAGGACAAATGAGTTTCTAATTCAGGACCTATTTATCTAGACTCTGATCATTTTAATTTTCATACTATGGGTAGATGATCAAATTAATTTGTATCTTTTTCAACCTTTTTTTTCAAACTTTCAGCCTCTAAAGATTCGCTGTGTGACTTGGACCAGGTTAACCTCTCTGAAGTTATTTCCTTATAAATAAAACATGAATTATCAGACACCTGACTAATATAAACTAGTATAACTAAGATCAATATTCTTAGGATTGTTGAGACAATGAAAGAAGACAACACTTGTACAAAACATGGTCTATTACATATTATATTTAATGCAATGAGAATATGATGAATATTAGTCCCCTGCCATTACTCTATGGGTGAGGGAGGGCGATAAAATGCATTGAAATAATGAATGTGAGAGTTAAGGTGTGCTTGAACACAGGTTAAGGGGGAGAGTGGACAGGGACTTAACTTGATTTAACTTTGCATCCTGGATACTTAGGTCCCCCTACCGGAAAACCTGCTCTGAGGCTCGAATCGCATCCAGACTCAGCGAAGCAAGACCTCACGGCAACACGCATGCCTCACCTGCACTCCTGCTCACACGCCTGGTCTCCCTGCGGAGTAAGTGGTCACTAATCCTCCTGATCTTTAGTTCAATATTTCAAGATCGTCCTAGGAGGAGAATACCACATTCCACTGAAAAACCTATCTGGGAGCCCTCACACCTAGCAATTTTCTGGTGGTGTAACTAGGTGGATGTGAGAAATAACCTGACATAGGAAAGACCTGAAGAGGTGGAAAAGAGCCACTGACTCAAAGTTCTATGCGTAAAGGGTTTTGTTCAGTCAGGGTTTTTATTAAATCATATTCAAAATTAAGCTCTCCCAGAGATTCCCAAGTGAGTGAAGTGGCTCAGTAACATCTGACTCTTTGTGACCCCATGGACTGCAGCCCACCAGGCTCCTCTGTCCACAGGATTTCCTAGGCAGGAACCCTGGAGTGGGTTGCCATTTCCTTTCCAGGGGATCTTCCCGACCCAGGGATCGAAACTGTGGCTCCTGCATTGGCAGGCGGATTGTTTACCTCTGAGCACCTGGGAAGTGTCACCACACGTGACCGTTTGGCAAAAGCATTTCCAGAGAGGCCTCACTGCCTCGCCGGCCCGTCTACAGCAGGGTCTAAAACAACGTGCCCAGCACAGGTTTCCGCGCACGCACGCAAGCACCGCGCTGGGGAGGCGCCTCTCCCCCATTCACCTGAACCCGCAGGTTCTCCAGCCTTGTTCCCACAGCGCGGGCCCCTTCCCTGGCCTTTCTGCGCACAGGCGCCAGCTGAAAGATGCTCTCTGCAAAAATAAATAAGGAAATAAAATAGCAGCCCCCGGACAAAGCCTACTGATCTTTTCCCTCACGAATGTGCGGATATTTCTGTGAATCAGGGCACATTCAAAAGCTCACAATATAGCTGGGGAAAGTTAAGCCTTTCCTAAAATATCTTGATCGACACCCACTTCCTCTGACAAAACTAAAAATACAGCATGTAGTCAAGTCTTCCAGAAAGAAAGTTGTGGCAGTGAATTTTTTTTTCTTTTTTTTTCCCTCCTTTTCCATCAGACCTCAGAGACGGCAGCGCCGTTATCAGCATTGCCAGACTCGTTCTGGGCAGCCAGGCCTCGCAGACGCAGGCTTATCCGTCTCCTGGAAGAAGTCTGTCGTTTCGTGCACTACGGGTATTAGGACCAGGCTAGCGGGAGCGAATTCTGCCAAGAATAAACCTTTCAGAATCAGCCTATAGAGAGAAAGAATGTCATTATGGCTTCAAAATCCAAATATTTAAAAGGAAACTAGAATCAGCCTTTGGATGGGTATTCTTAAAAATGGAAACCTCCCTTCCTAGCAGACTATCAGTGTGGGCTACTTACTTCCCTAGAGATCTATCTTTGGGCGTCACACTCCACAAATACCAACACAATCACACTCACCGTTCCGTCGGCCCGAGAGTTCTAATGGGATGGCACTTCTGTTCCGGCTACCTGGCTTCAAGATGGTTATTTCAAATTAGTGGATGCTACAAAGAAATGCCAAACAGTCTACTTGTTTAAACTTTTTTTTTTTTTTTACCACACCCTGAGGCACAAGGGATCTTAGTTCCTCAACCAGGAATCGAGCCCACAGCCTGCATTGGGGGTGCAGCATCTTAACCACTGGGCCACCAGGGAAGTCCTTCAAATATTCTCTAACACACACACACACACACACACACACAACCTCTTTTCACCTTTATGAAATCCTTCTACAGCATCCACACCTTTATTATTCAAAGAGGGTCACTGAGGTTCCTAACCTCTCAACATCACAGCCATAAACGGGACTCACGTTCAGTTCTTTCTGACTTTCCTTTTCCAGTGTTCCTCAGTCAGAAATTTATAAGCTGCTCCGAATGCCAAGTGAGATCCTGGTGTCTGTTCCAGGCAAGGACAGGCCACTGTGTCCCAGGCACCGCGTACCAGCTAACATCCGACCAGAGATGCTTCTGATAGTCTCATTCCAAGAAAGTGAAGCAGGGCTTGAAAACACACTACTTCTCTGGGGAGTATTACTTATTTATTTATTTTTAATCTTCAGTGTTTGCTTTGGCGTATTTCAGATGTTAAATATACACAATGCACAGTAAATGGAATATAGCGCCTGCAGCAAGAATTATTCAAAAAGCTTTCATCAGAAATTTTGCTCGCATTCCCAGTGCCCTGAAACCACATAACCTGTACATTATCTCTGAATCAATCTATGCTGGGCCATCATGGAGGAAAAACAACTCTCAAATGCTTCCCATTTTGCAAAAACTATGATCTGAAACAGTATAGCCTCAGTGGTAACAGGAGCCATCTTTACTTTTCTGACTGATGGAACCAAGTTCCATTGAAGCCATTTTTTCTTTCTTTCTTTTTTTTTTTTTTAGCATTCAGCTTTGCAATGTCTGTGGACATATGCTAATGAATGAAATGAACGGATTTTTTTTTCTATATAAATGAACCTTATCTTTTAAACCAGAAACAAATTCTCAAACCTAAACCTCCAAATATGTTTCCCTGAGCCCCATGTGAAGTAGCACATTATGTTATTTCAGGACTTACACTACCAAAATAAAGGAGAAAGAAAAAATCATATTTATTTAAACCTCATGACAAAACATAATGGATTGAACACATGTGTTTATCTTCATTCTTGCCTGAAACCACACTCAAATGACAGCAAGAAAAAAAGAAAAATATAAATCCATACAGGTAGAGAAATGAGAGGAAACAGCAATTCACAAATGATGTCAACTCAACTTGGGGAGATAAAGAGGGAATGGAGGAAAATATGTGGTCAAGCAAAGCCATGGAAGCTGACACCGAGGGTCCACAGGAGACGCCGAGGCCAGGTCAGTGCGCCGCGCTCCAGGTTCTCGGAAAGACGTGGGACTGGGGCTGTGAGTGTCCTCCACCGACGAGGGCAGGGGAAGCGGGCCTTCCTCCTCTGCTTTCGCAGAAAGGAGACTTCAAAGACCACACGCGGGTGTGAGGCACAGAGGCAGAGCTGGAGAAAATGAAACAGAAGCGCGCGGGCGCGGCCACGGGAACAGCGCCCTCTGCCCGGGCCTCCGCGTGCAGCCGCCGGGGCCTGCACCCCACCCGACCGCTGCCCCGCGGGGCGCCGGACGCCCCTTCTCAGGAGAAGCGGAAGGACCCCCGAAGAACGCCCTTCAGAGACGGCACTTGGGAGCTGCCAAGAAAAGGCCAGCTTCCCACCCATCACCGCAGCTCCCCAGCCCCCGCCACACTATCATCTTTGGAACGCGCCATTCTTCAACATGGATGAGCAGAAAGACCAGCACCTATCTGAGGAGGCTCTCCATCATGAAACGCAGAGACCAAGAGGCTGAGGATACCTTTTTCAAAAAGGAAAAACCGCGGTTAATAACTTCAAAGAGGTGCTTGTTAATACTGCACCACACAAAAAGAAAAAGAATGCCTCGAAAGGAGGCAATCAGATGAGAAGAGCGTTAGGAAATTAAACTATGAAAGGAGTGATCACACATTCAATGGGAGCATTAGAAGGGAAAGTTAAGATGTCTTGCAAGGAATGGAAATAAAAAAGATGGAAAGTAAGAGAGAAATGATAACAAAATTAGAGACTATATATATATACACACACACACACACACAATTTTCTATTTGCGTAATAGTCAATCCAGAAATAGAGTTAAGGAGAATAGATTATATATACATACATGCACATGTATACTATACATATAAACACACACACATAGATACACCCGAACATACACACATAGGCTTCCCAGGGGCACTAGTCGTAATGAACCTGCTTGCCAATGCAGGAGACTTAAGAGATGCAGGTTTGTTTCCTGGATCTGCAGGAAGACCCCCTGGAGGAAGGCATGGCCACCCACTCCGGCGCTCCTCCCTGGAGAATCCCATGGACAGAGGAGCCGGGCGGGCTGCAGTCCGTGGGGTTGCAAAGAGTCAGACAGGACTGAAGCGATTTAGCACGCGCACACACGCACACACACACACATATCCTACACAGAAGAACATGTGTCCAGAGAGAGGGCCCAAATTAAATTTAAAAAATGGGAAGCAGGATCCTCACTTATAACATCATGCAGTGTGAGGGAGACTAAACCCGTTTTTAAGACACTGAGGTTTCCAGCGAACGGCCTCTTCTCTCCCGCTTCACAGCAGGAGGCGCTACGTTGTAAGGAGGCCACGCTCATTCCGCGGAAAGCATAGGACCCAGGGAACAGGAATCAGGGGTTCCCACACCTGCTAGAAGTCTGGAAGTTTCCAAGGCGATGACCAGTGTTGTGAAAGCACGGTCACGCAGAAGACTTGAGGGCTGCTGTCCTGGACTGAGTGGGAAGTCAGAGGGCGTCAGGAAGGAGGGGTTAAAGGAGAAGGGATCATACAGAGAATCTGACAGTCTGGGCCACGTGCTCTTGAGAAGTGTGGGGAACGGCGCAGTGTCCCTAAAGCCCTGAGCAACTGAAAAAATTCAGACCATGTTTCACTCCAGGAAATACAAGAAGAAATTAGACAATAAAGTAAAAGTGATTATAGTCCCTTATTTGACTTCCCCACAAACTCTATGCCAACAGGCACAATAAAGAAAACACAAAATACTGAATTAATTAAATCCATAATACAATTATCATTGCAGGATTGGGGGGATGGTGTGCGTCACACAGTAGAATTGAAAAATACAGGGCACACTGTCTAAAATTATAAATCAGCCCAAACCAGTATACTCCCTGTTATTGGTTGAAAGAAATTTTATTTTATTTATTTTTTTTAGCCAGAAAGATAAAGACCAATACAGTATACTAACGCATATATATGGAATTTAAAAAGATGGCAACGATAACCCTATATGCCAGACAGAAAAAGAGACACAGATGTACAGAAAAGAAACTTTAAAAAGAAGAGACGCATAGAAGGACTGAAAGTGGTAGGTTCTGTTGAACAGAACTTAGGGAGGGGAAGAGTTATGACCAAATATTGGTTTGGATGCTGCTCTAAATCTTAAAGATTGGTGAGACTCTCAAAGTATGAGCATGTGTTCATTTGTTAAACATATAAATTAATAACAATTTTTCAAAAGTTAATAGATGCCTTTGACCTGCATTCCTGCAAAGGACTCTCCATGAGGAATGAAGGTAGAAATCACTGGCATACAAAGTCAGAAAACAGCCTTATTTATAGTCTGTCATTAGAAAATTCTGGATTTGTATGATTATGTTAAAAATAACTATACAATGCAAAACGAGAAATTCAGTTAAACACTAAACAAAGATGCAACACGCTTAGAAGTATTTAGTAAGATTATTGCATTTTTATTGCGTTTATCACATCTCCTGTGACAGATTTTGGATGTAATTAATGAATATTCTATGACCTTCATGTGTAAGATTTCTTGGCTTCTTTCAGTTTTTCAGTTTTGTCAGAATATGGCAATAAACTCAAGGGACTCAGAAATCTTCAATGGGAAATTGAAGGTATGCTCAGACCTTAAAACGAAACATTTTGCAGCTGTTACTGGGTTGAGACACATCTATTTGTAAAGATCTCCAGTATGTAGAGATTTCCATATTTATTACTTACATATGTTAAGTAATAAGGATTTGGATGTAGAGAGCGGCGTGTATTCCATGATTCCCTTTGTGCACACATGTATTTATACACACACGTATTTGTACACACACGTATTTGTGTTTGAGGATGCACAGGCTAATTGGGGAGAAAGGATCCTTATCATACTGTTGAAGTGTCCGCCTTTCACGGGGAAAATTCGTATTTTCATCCCAAACTCTTGAATAACCTGATTTTTTAACCTTATGCATATGTGGTTTACTTTCACAAAGGAAAATAAAATGCCACTGCTTACCAATACCACCACTAAAATACATGGTTTTGAAGAAGAATGGAAGTGGAATGATCTATCAAGTTATACAAAGTGGGGGGGTGGAGAATATGATCATTTTTATGTAAAAGTAACACCCTGTTGGTTATGAGATGGGGAGTGAGATTTGAAATGAGTGTTGTTTCTTATTTCATGTTTTTTAAGTTTACAGTTTCTATGGTTATCTTTCTATTGCTTTTAAAATGAAAAAAAAAAAAAAGAAAGAGGAGAAGATGGCATCCCTGCATCAGTTCTCTAGGTTGCAGACGACATTCAGCCATAGTGTAGC